CTCGATCGCACTGTAATTTCACCCCCAGGAACCATGGCTGTGGTATTTGTGGGTAGGACGGGAGCCTTCCCTGGGGAGGCATCGTGGTCCTTTTCTGTCACCTGCTAGCCAGGGAATTTACCTGCTGTTTGTTCTCCTGATGTGAGGAATTGGTTCAAACCAGATGGGTGGTGGGTGTGGAGTCTCTGTAGCCAGCCTGACCACACACTTGCCCACCAAGGAGGTGGCCGTGTTGGAAAAATAGATTGTGTTTAAACTGCCATAAGAGGAGGGAGTTTGGAGGACCGGAAAGAGGACACCTTTGGATGTGGATGCCCAGGGTTTAAATCCGAGCTCTGCTGCTTGCCAGTGGTGTAACCCACGATCTCTTAGTAAAAGGTGCATGAGAAACTGCCCAGCAGGGTTACCTTGAGCAAGAAATGGGACCACCAGTGAGTGTGACTGGTGCGGGCTGATGAACAGATGGGCCCCCATCTCCAGACAGGTGTGTGAGAGGGGCAAACCTCTGGGCATCATTGTGTCAGCAACATACCCGTTTTAGAAAAGCAAGAAGCTGATCAAAATTCAGCCTGATGTGGAAGAGTAGAGGGATTCTTTCTATTTTAAACCCCAGTCCTTTGTATGACAGAAATTCCCAAAGTTCTAACCCGGGAGCCACCTGTAGAGCCTCATAAGGGCTTTTTCTGGCAAAATCATGTGGGGTGGCTGGCAGCAGGGGGCTGGTCGCTTCACACTTGCTGGTTCTTGTTTCCTGCTTTCTGGCTGCTGTGGGGTAGGCAGAATAGGGGCGTGGGCACTGCACGCGACTGTTGGGGTGCGTGTTGCCTTGTGGCACCTCACCGTGCTTCGTGGGCCTGGGGGTGTCCCATGTCTGCCTTTGGCCACCTGTTTCTTCATCTGTAAAATGGGCATAATAGTGCCTTCCATGGGATTGCTCTGAATATTAAATGCAATTCTGCCTTGAAGGAGCCTCACCCAGCATGTGCACACTCCAAGTGCCTGATACACCCTGGCTGTCCTTAGAATTGGAAAGCTAGATTTGTGAACTAAGGAGAGAACTCTGACATGTCTTCGCAGTGTGAGAGCAGCATTAACAGGGGCTGGGATAGGAGGAGAGTCTCACTTCTGGAGGGTCATCCATCCACACTGGCCCCAAAGGGAGCACAGCGATTTGTAATCAGCGTAGGCGGTTATATCGTGCTTCTCAGGCGGCACGTCGGCCAGAGAGCTGTTCTGACTCTGCGGGCTGAGACCCGAGATTCTGTAGCTCCCTCGGGCTCCCAGGTGTTCTCCAGGCTACTGGACCAAGGACCACACTCGAAGTAGCACGCCAAGGTGCGAATCAGCCTGATGATTTATTGATGGGAGCCTGTTGGTGGGCCACTCGGGCCCTTTTATATGCTAACTGTACAAAGGAAGGAAACATCTCAGTGTCCTGCCGAGGGTACCAGGGAAGATTTGGGTGGGGGGGAGCAGATCTTGGAAGTGCCCGGGCTGTCTCGTTATAACTCAGAACGATGAGAGAAAAGGCAGACGGCATCTTCATGGTGGTTTGTCCTGAACTCTGGGCGGTTGCATGCTCTCATCTCTTGGGATCGGCCTGGCGGAGAGCCAGCTGAACTCACTTCAGAGGAGATGGGCTCGTCGGCTGGCCTGCCGCCGGGTCTTGCTGGAGGGAGGCCTGGGTAAAGAATGGCTCCAGGCTGCGGAGGAAGCCACAGCACTCTGTGAACACAGAGATACAAGCTCCTGTTCCACTGTGCCAGCCCAGGGAGCACATACGTGCGTGCAGACACCCCTTTATCTCTTGCTTCATTTCCCACTACAAAGGATTTGGGAGAAACCTTCTCGTGCGACCTGCTGATGAAGAGTCGGACCCAGAATGCTGTGATCCGTGCCCAGTCAGCCATTGTTTGAACCCCTGAGGACCTTGGGGCTGGAAGGGAAAAGTGATTCTGTGGATCCTTTTGCCACCTTAGGTTTTGATGTAAACTTTACCCCTCTGAGTCTCAGCTCTAGTCTGGAAGAAGCATCGCCTGGGATTTCAGCCCTCCATGGTCCCTTCCCTGGATAACCTGTGAGCCTGGGTCGGTGAATTTAGTGCAGTGGGCTGTCAGGATCAGGATTCCAGTGCCTTTTGCGGGGTTGGGATAAAAAACTAGCTTGTTTCTTGCAGCCATTTCTCTCCCTTGCTATGTGAATAGTTCTCCCCCTTTGTCTAACTTTTGTGATGTTTACAAAATGAATTGCAAGTGGCATTTATTCGCTGTGCTAATGTAAATTAGGCGTTTGTGGGAACTTTTGGACCCAGCCCCGTCCCGCTGGGGTTTTTTGAGTGCAGAAGGCATTTTATGTTCCTCGGCTCCTACAACCTGACATGTGGAAAGGCCGTGGATGTTTCGGGCGTTTAGACCTGTCAGACTGCTAATTCTTCTCACCTGTGAAAACATAACTGGCATTATCGAGGGCAACCCTTGACTTGCCCTGGTGGTTCTGAAGCTCAGCCCCAGAAGCCAGGGGGAAATTGATCCCTTAATGTGGCTTTCTTCTCACTGGAGTTTCGTTTTGCGTGTCATGGTGCATTTGAGTTAGAGCAGCCAAGAGCCCGCTGAGCTGCCCTGGTGTGGTCCGTGTGGGAAGGTGCCTGCTGGGATTCCCGAAGGCTGTGGGTTCCAGCCCCGCTGCCTGGGGGTTCTGCAGCTGGGGCCCACTGTGCGAGGCCACAGGAGCGGGAGCTGGCGTGTGAGTGAGGGGCCTGTGCCCTTCAGACCCTGCACCGAATCAAGTACAGACTCTCAAGATGAGACTGATCTGGAAAGAAACATGCCACTAAGGGTTGGTTTCCCTGGCCCCATGTGTTCTCAGTGATCCTTTGTGTTCTGGGCATTGAGGAACTGGGTTTGGAGGAAGCGGGAGTTAAGATGGGACCCACGTGCCTTTTCATGAGCCTCATACCATGTCTCTGAGTCCGATTAGTGTGGCTGTTCAGCCTTTGCGGCAGGTCCATCTGAAGGTGCCAGACTTCTGTTCTCTGACGGCTAGATCTCCACTCCTTTCAGCCAGGGTGCTGGGGAGGGAGCAGTGTCACGATGCAGCTAGGTTGGGGGTGAAGTTCATGATCCCAAGGTGAAGGTGGCTTTCAGGACAGAGTGCAGGGAACCTGGGCCAGCTTCCCATGTCTCTGGGGAGGCTGTCCAGGGTCATTCTAGCTTCTGCTAGATCGCTTTCCCACAGACACATAGTGGATAATGCATTCTATGCCAGGCCAGTAGGGGCTAGTTTATTGCACAATGTGCCTGGTACTTTTCCAGGAGAATTGCTTCCCCTTTCCAGGCTGCCAGACGGAAGGAGCAGTGGCTTGGAATTTCCTACTCTGTGGACACAGGTGTAGATCTTATTCAGAGTCTCACCTTACAAGCCCTTTTCCACATGGCTGTGGCTCAGCACACACCGTGCGTGACTATACCGGTTAGTGTTCTCCACTTTAGCTCTGCGCTTGACTGCTCTCTGGGAATGATACATGAACATGTAGGGCACAAGTGTTCCTGTAACATCGGCGGGGGAGCTTGTGGCCACTTCCTGCCGTGTTCTGTGTCCACACAGCCCCAAATGCGTCTCTTCTGTTGTCTTAGCATTCTTGCTCCTGTCCTCCGGTGGGGAGGGGCCCTGTGGGGGAGAGCCCATCCCCACAGCAGCCTCCCGGTCAAGACGAAGGGCTTCATTCTTGTCCCTGTTTGTATGGGAACGCTTCTACCTCTGGCTGGCGTTGGGGTAGAGGAAGTGGTTTGTAATTCTACCCTCCTGATATTTCTTTCCTATATCTCCCAAATATACATGCTTTGTGTGTGGTGGGGAGCAAGGGGAAGAGAGGGACATAGAAGAGAAATGACATCTCCAAATTTCCTACTTTTTATTCTTTTTTTTTTTTTTTTTTTTAACTGAAGTATCACACACATCCAGGCAAGTGCCCATGTCATGTACACAATTCAGGGAATCATCACCTTTGTGCAGACACTACTCAGGTTGCCAACAGAGCATCATATGCACCCCTGGAAGTCCCCTCTGACTAGCTGCAGCCCCCCCCACCCCGCCGCTTCTCCCCAGAGGTAACCCATAGAGTGACCTCTAGCACCAGCTAAATTCCAGCCGCTTCAGACTTGAGATGAGTGGGATCAGACAGTGAGAGCCCGCTGGGCCTGATGTCTGTTGCTCAATGCTGTATTTCGGAGCTTCCTCGTGTGGCGCCATTGCACGCTCGTTGATATTCATCGCTGTGCAGAATGCTGTTGTGTTTCTGTGCCGCCACCTACCTGTCCACTCTGGCATGGGGAGACCCTCTGAGTCTCCTCTAGTGTTTGGCCACAACATTTTTAGCTGGGAACATTTTTGACCACATCTCCTGGTAGACCCACGTATGCATTTCTGTGGGGTATGTTCCCGGAAATGGGATCTCTGGGTCCTCGGGTAAGGCCCATGGTCCACTTTCTTAGGCACTTAGGCAAGTTCTCTAAGTGGTCCCCCCAGCAGTGGATAAGGGTTCCAGTTCCTCCATATCCTTGCCAGCACCTGGTGTTTGAGGTCTTTTGGTGTAACTTAGTAGGTGTGGGTGGTATCTCACTTGGATTTCTCTGATAACTAATGTCCTTAAGCATCCTGTCATATGTTTATTGGCTGTTAGGTTATCTTCTTTCATCAAATATCTGGCGCACTATTCTGTTGGCTCTCTGTGTTTTCCTAAACGTCTATAGGTTCTAGATAGGAACCCTTTGGTTGTATGTGTTCCCAGCCAGTCTTGAGCTTTAAACATGCCTGGAGAACATCCGACAGGTTCACTGCAGGAGGCTGTGCCCCCGGGGCCCCGAAGCCCAGGATGATACTGGGGTGTGGCTTGTCAGGGAGCACTCAGGCAGCCCTCCCCTGGCTGGGTGAGGGTTTAACCATCAGCCTCCTCTTTCCTGGTACTAGCTTGTGACAGAATGTTCTTTCTTCTGGATATGCAGGGTTCTTGTGGGCGCACCAAAGGCAGAGTCCAAGTACAGCACTTCAGTGAGGTCCCCTGGGGCTGTGTTTAAGTGTCGTGTCCATACCAACCCTGACCGGAGATGCACCGAATTGGACATGGCTCGAGGTAGGTGGATGTCACTGATGGGTTCCACACCCTCACACGTCCTCTTTGTCTTCTCAGAGCCGCCTGGTGGTTCAGCCCCTCTTCTTCCCTCCCTCCCTCCCATCCATCCACCCACCCATCTATCCATCCATTATATGTCAAGTACCTATTACTGCACAGAGATCTACTGTGAACAAAGCCAAGTTCTTGCCCTCCTGTGCCTTACAAGTTACTGGACTGAGAGGCATGAAGATGAATAGTTGAGTATAAGAAGACCAGAGGGGAGGTGGGTAGTTGATCTACGCATGAAAAGATTCACACTGGCTAGCTGGGCAGCTACGGGAGGCAGAACTTCCAAGCCGAGGAAAGCATGTCCTCGCTTACTGAGTGAGGATGGTGTAGCCGGAGTGCTGAGCGGGAGAGCGGAAGCAGAGTGGTTGATGGGGTAGGCTGGGGCTGCCTCACATGGGCCCCAGCAGGCTGGGGTAAGGTGTGAAGATTTTATGCTTTGCACAAAGGGGGAAGCCATTAAAATCAATCTTAGGCTTTATATTTTAAGTAGGGAAAGATATGATGGATGGAGGTCTTAAAAAACTCACTTCAGTCCAGTGGAAAATACATGACGCATCATCTTTGGAGTCGGGGATTCTGCCCGGGTTCAGAGTCCGGCTCTGCCAGTTACTAGTTGGGACTTACTGGCAAAGCCCCATAGCCTTCTTGGCCTCAGTTGCCTTGCCTGTAAAGTCAGGACTAAGATACCTTCAGAAGGTTAAGAAGAGAGGGGATACATAGATCTGTGCTTGGCACATAATGGGAACTATTTTATTACAATCCCTTCAGGGCCTCACTTTCTCCAAAGTTCTTCCCCAGCAAGAGCTTCTGGTTGTTTTTTTTTTTTTTTTGAGCAAAGAATTTTTCTGATCTTCAGCTGAAAGGGAGAGATATCTGCAGTGTTCTTTAGCACTACTCAAAATGACGGGTTTGTGAACCGCTTACTCCCGGTAGGTACGTAACAGATCACGGAGCCAGCTTCAGATCGTAAAGCCCCGCACCACTTCCTTCATAGAGCAGGTCCTGCATGAGAAAAGTAATTGGCTCAAATAAACAGCCAGCAGGACACCGTGATGGAGTTGATTTACACTTTGCTCCAAGTTCCTTACTTTCTCACTGGCAGGTGACCAGCATTTGGACGGTATGTAGAACACCCTTTGAAAAGCAGTCCGCAGGACATCGTTTCTCAAAGCACGTCTGGCTTTTCTCTTTCCCATCCAGGGAAGAATCGGGGCACACCGTGTGGAAAGACTTGCCGGGAAGACCGGGATGAGGAGTGGATGGGGGTGAGCCTGGCCCGGCAACCCAAGGCGGACGGCCTCGTGCTGGTAAGGCCTCCTGGGGGTGCCGTGGGGAGGGGGTGGCACTCTGAGGACCAGTGGCTCTGTGATCCCCTAGGCAGGCTGGATGGCACGGTGACAAAGGCATGGCCTTGGGGGTTGCCAGCTCCGGACTACTGCTTGGACCAGTGATGGCTCTTTTTAATTTCATCATCTGTCGGGTGTAGAGATACGGTTGTTTTAATAAGACAAAATGTGTGTGAGCTGTGCTTTGGAAATCCTGTTCATTACCTAAGCACTTTTGTGAGTGTGTGTTTTTTGAGGTATACGGTACATGGAATGTACAGAATTAAGATTACAGTTTGGCTTTTGACCCTGGTACACTCCTGTGTAATCCCCCCGCCCCCTTCCAGCTAGAGAGTATTTCTCCCATCCCCAGAAAGTTCTCTTCTGTTCCTTTCTAGTCCATTCCTCTCACCCCAAGGCAACCACTGTTATGATTCGTACTACTGAGGATTACTTTTTATGCTTCTAGAACTTCATATAAATGGAAACCTACCATGTGTGCTCTTTTGTGCAAGGCTTCTTTCACTCAGAATACTTTTGAGATTAACCCATGTTGTATCAGTAGTTTATTTCTACATAGGATTATATATTAGGAAATCCAGGTTAATTTTCATGCTTTACAGTTGACCGTTGAACAACACGGGCTGGAACTGCATGAGTCCACTTATAGGTGGATTTTCTGTAAATGTATTTTCTCTTCCATAGGATTTTCTTAGTATTTTCTTTCCTCTTGCTGACTTTATTGTAGGAATATCAGGTCTAATACATATAACATGCAAAGGACATACAAAGTAAGTTCTTGATAAGGCTTCAGGTCAATAGACTATTAAGTTGGGAGGAGTCAAAACTTATATGCAGATTTCCAAGTGCATGAGAGGTCAATGCCACTAACCACCACATTGTTCAAGGGTCAACTCTATTTGGCTCCCAAAGTGCATATGAGGTACTCAGGCTCCTTAGGTGCCTTGAGGAGGTGCAAAGAATAGTCTTTATACCATTGACACTTGTGATACCCTACAGCTATGCCCTCCGGTGAACTAGCTGCCCACCGCATGGAGTCAATACACTTTAAATTTATCTAAATTAAAAATTCAGTTTTTCAGTCCCACTAGCCCCATTTCAAGTGATCAGTAGCAGCCCATGGCTCCTGGCTACTGTGCTGGATAGCACACAGAGAAAACACTTCCATCACTCCAGAGGGTTTTATTGGACTCCACCAAAAAGGAATTGGTAACTGCCTCAGAAGTTTTGTCTCCTTTTTTCCTTTGCTTTTACTCTTTCCTGTTACGGTAGAACACTAAAGTGCTTACCCAGCCTGATGTGATCAGCTTGGTGGGGTTTTCATATCCACATGCACGCATGCCTGTTGCTAATCCCATAATGTTCCCTCGTGGCCCTCTCCACTGAGATAACCAGTATTCTGACTTCATACCCCTTTTCTTTTTGTTGGCTTTATCTTGGAAGCTCTATGAAGATTTTTCCTCTAAAAGCACAAGATCAAGGAGGGAAAACATTACCAGCTGCCATTCATTGAAGGCTTCCTTTGGGCCACATGCTGTCAAGTTGAGGGTTTCACATATTTATATTTTATCCCCAGGAGGATATAGGATTCTGAATGCATCTAGGCAAACCGTCTCCTTCTCCTCTTTGAGGAGCCCACTTTCGTGTTAAACTTCTCCACAGCAGAGGCTGCTCTTGTGAATGCAGCCTGCCTTCTCACCGAGAGTAGTGTCTGCCCCTTGCTGGGCCCCTGGGGGAGGGAGGAAGTACCTGGATGCCGTCACTAGTGTGGAGGGGCCTCCCGACTGGAGTCACTGGGGATCCGCTGAGGGCCCCCGGCCCCTGCTGTTTGTCCAGCGTTTTAATCACTGTTGCGGGCTTTCTGGACCTTCTCCAAGCCTCGGCATTCCTCCAGACGTAGTGGCCAGACCCTGACCGGACCACGTGGCCCCAGGAGGCCTGGAAGGCTTGTCTGCCATCCTCCACCTCCGGATCGGGGCGGCCTGAGCTTGAAATTCAGAGCGGCAGAGTTGGTGGTCTGGGGGACGCACGGCACACAAGGCCCGGGAGCGTGTGGAGCCTAGATCCGGAAGTTGTCCTGTGGAAACGTTTCCTCCGCCCACAGAAGGAGAACCTCTGTGTGGCCGGGAACTTGCTCCCAGAGGGTCCTGTGTCACCGTAAATCCATCTGAGGAGGGAGCTGTCTCCGGGGACGTGAACGGCAGTGAGGACCACGGGAACCAGTTAGCAAAGGAAGCCAGGGAAGGCAGTGCTGGGGCTTCGTGGAGATGGTGCTTGGGCATGATAGCCCTGCCCTGATGCACCCCACGCAGGGCTGTCGTTCTCTTATTTTGCACAGTTACTGCTTCATCCACTCAGTGGGCACCCCTGGGGGTGCTAGAGAAGGAGGGGCTTGTGACCACATCCATTTTCCTCATGGCTTTTTTTTTTTTTTTTTTTTTTTTTTTTACTGTAGTCAAAGACACAATGTAATATTTATCATTTTAACCATTTTTTTAAAAAAAGATTATATTTATCTGACAGCACAAGCAGGATGAGCGGCAGGCAGGGGGAGGGGGAGAATCAGGCTCTCTGCTGAGCAGGGAGCCCGATGTGGGCCTCGATCCCAGGACTCTGGGATCGTGACCTGAGCCGAAGGCAGATGCTTAACTGACTGAGCTGCCCAGATGCCCTGTCTTAACCAATTTTAAATGTGCAGTACAGTGGCATTACCTGTGTGCCCTTTCTTGGGCAGCAGGACTCTGAGATTTTTTATCTTGTGAAACAAGCTCTGCACTCATTGAACACTTGTGCCCTTCCTGCTGCCCCTAGCCTCTGACAACCACCATTCCTCTGTTTCTAAGAGTTTGACTCTATTCGATAACTCATGTAAGTGGAATCATGCAGTATTTGTCTTGTGACTGGCTTATTTCACTTGGCATAATGTCCTCAAGGTTCTTTCACATTGTAGCGTATTACAGTATTTCCTTCTTTTTTTTTAATTTAAATTTAAATTTTAATTTTTTTAGAGCCTGCACACATGCAGGGGGAGAGGAGCAGAGAGAGAGCAGGGGGAGAGAGAGAGAGTGAGAGAGAGAGGGGTGGGGGAATCCTAATCAGGCTTCATGCCCAGTGTGGAGCCTGATGTGGAGTTGGATCCCACGACCCTGAGATCATGACCTGTGCCAAAATCAGCAGTCAGATGCACTCAACTGGCTGAGCCACCTGGGCACCCCATTTCTTTCTTTTTTAGGGCTGAATACTATTCTTCTGTATATATGTACCATATTTTGTTTACCCATTGATGGATATTTGGGTTGCTTCTACCTCTTGGGTATTGCGAATAATGCTGCTATGAACATAGGTGTGCAAATAGCTCTTCAAGATTCTGTGTTCAATTATTTTGTATATATATCCAGAAGTAGGATTGCTAAACTCTATGGTAATTCTATTTTTTAATTTTTGGAGGAACTGTCACACTATTTTCCCACCATGGCTACACCATTTTACGTTCCCACCAACAGTGCACCAGAGAAGGGTCCCAATTTCTCCACATCACTGCCCATACATTTCTATTCCTTTGCTAGTGGCCACCCTAGTGGGTGCAAGATGGTATTTCAATTTTCCCTAATGATTAGTGATATTGAGCATCTTTACACAGGCTTGATGGCCATTTGTGTATCTTCTTTGGAGAAATGTCTGTTCTACTCCTTTGCACATTTTTAAATTGGATTGTTTTGTTGTGGTTGAGTTAGTCCCTATGGGTTTTTTGCACATATGCCATCTCTCTAGAAAAGGCCTGCCCTAGGTCCTCTCTGTTCCCAGCTCCCTCTCTCCTCCCTGGTTTAGAGTCTGCTTCCTCCTCGAAGCCGGTCCTTTGGTGACTGTGCTTTCTGGAATGAGCTTAGCATCTTTCGAGTCATTAAGAACCGAGCATCGTGTAGTTACCTTTAAATGTATAATTTACCCTGTGTGTATGTCTCCTTTTTTATGGAAGTTGCTTGAGGGAGAGGCTGCATCTTTTACCCTTTTTACTGTCAGTACTTAGAGACAATCTCTCTAAGGAGGGGTGTCTAAAAGTGTGCTTGAGTAAGATGAGAGCTGAGTGTCACTGTTAAAGCAATTAGAAAGCAAATCAGTTGCCATCCCATCTTGGTGGCTGCCTGAGTGATGGCTAGAGCCATGAGGTAAAATGCTCTAACATGGCCCTAGAGGTGACAGGTGAAAGTAAGGTACAGGGAGTGGTAACGTCATCCCTGTTTACATTTTATTTATTATTATTATTATTTTTTACTTATTTGACAGAGATCACAAGTAGGCAGAGGGGCAGGCAGAGAGAGAGGGGAAGCAGGCTCCCTGCTGAGCAGAGAGCCCAATGTGGGGCTTGATCCCAGGACCCTGAGATCACGACCTGAGCTGAAGGCAGAGGCTTAACCCACTGAGCCACCCAGGCACCCCCATGTTTACATTTTAGAGGCCTTTTATCCACTTGCTTTTTCTTTAATGTGTCAAGTCCACTTGTCAAGGCTTTCTGCGAGGCAAGTATTTATTTGAAAATTAAACACAGGAAGACAGGTGTTATTCAAACACCTTTGAACCCTCGGGAGGTAGCTGGGGTGTGAGCATGGGACCTGGATCCCCAAGGAACATAATGTTGGATTCCAGGGTGGGTTTGAAGAGGGGGAGGTGGGCTGGGTTTTTTGCATCAGCATCTGGTGCTGATTCAGAGTAAAGAACAGATGGAGAATTTGAAAGCTGTGACAGGGCGTGAAGTGTCTCATTGACCAATGACGTTTTCTCTGCCCTGAACCCAGCAACCAGCTCTGGTGGGCTGACTTCGGCTTCGTATGGGCCAGTCTTGTCACAGGTGTTGTGGTTCCTTCATGTTCTCTTCCAGCGAACAGATGATACCAGGAGCAAACGCAGCGTCGGCATTAAGGGCAAGCCCCTCGCCTCCCCACATTGTCCCCCAGCACTGCTCGTGTGCAGATGACAATTTAAGAAGTAGAGAAAAAGAAACCATTTCTTACTGTAAACACCCAACCCACCTGGCATAGGCACAGACTCTTTTCTTTAATTTGGGAGAGCATCTCAAAATGGTCAAGTCTGGTGTTTCTGCTTTTCAGTCATCTCCAAGGCTCAGACGACAAATAATGGAAGCATCTGGATTGTTTCTGGTGGCAGCGGTGTTCTTGGCTCTAGGCTGCGTCCTTTCCAAATGCCAGGGCAGTCCCTGTCTATTCACCGCTTCTCATCTGTCTGCTGTTTCAAAGCTGCAGGGTCCATTTCTGCATTTACTTCTATTGTTGTGTGGTTGTTGTTGTTTAGAGAACTTTTAATGAGCTAAAATACATGCAAGAAAGTACAGAAATAATTCGTGTTCACTTTGATGATTGTCATTGGGTCAACATTCTCAGAATGGACTTTCCCAATACCTCAGAAGCCCCTTCTTGTGCCTCCCAGGCTACTCCATCCTCCCTTGGAGCAGGGGGCAGAAGTGGGGGGCACTTACTTGCCGGGTAGGGGAGATCTGTGGCATCGTGGTCCTGACCCCCTCCACCCACTGTTCCCGGTGGCCCAGGGCCTGGCCCTGACTGTGCAGGGTGGACCTGAGGCGTGGTAATAGCTCTGGCCATCTGTGTAAGAGGGTGGGGTGGGGACCTACGTGCCTTTGTGGCTGAGCCATTGGGAGAGGCCCAGGATCCACTCCCCTTCCCCCTGCCCCACACACACTGCCTGCCCAGGAAGGACATGCTATTTCCATATAACAAAAAAGACTTTTGAAATAAAACTTGCTCATTTTCTCCTTTTATTTTTTGGAAGTAAAAAAAAAAAAAAAAGCACAATCATCCTTATAACTGGAAAGATGTCAGATTCTAAGATTTGGAGTGATGGTAGACCCTCCTCCCCTTTCTTAGGATTATTTGGAATCTGAGTTTGGCCGGTCTTGCTGTTTTCTTTTTAAAGAATGCTCTTCTTTTCCTGTTCTTCCCTGCTCTTCCCCTTCCTCCCTTACAGCAGAACTCATTTAGAGAGATTGATGGGGTTAGTAATCCTTTGGAGACAGTCCCTAGGAATTTTTTTAACGTAGGAATCAGATTGACATGTGTGTGTGTATATATAATGATAATCAGGGATAAACAGTCTTTTCTTTCTATAATTTATATTCGGAAATACTCTTTGTTGTTTTCCTACTTGCATACTGCCTTTGACACTTTGATCTCTGACCTCACAGAATGCCTTAATTTTAGTTTAGTTTACTGTGAAATGCAATATTTGGATTTTCTAGGAATTCTTCAAGATCACTTCTTAAACAGTTTATGGCACTTAAAAAACAAAAACAAATGAGACAATAAACTAGACATTAAATGCAGAACATCCTTCCTTTGAAGAGTCAGCAGGCCTCATGGTAAACATCCACCTCTTTTCACTGTCTCTCTGGCCAGAGATACAATAAAATGCAGTAAGCCCTGGAAGCCAAGGGCTTTCCTAAGTCTATAAGCTAAAATAGGAGTCCCAGGAGCCAGCCAACTAGATGGCTTGCAAGCCAAGGGAATTGAGTCAGAACTAAACATTGAAAAAATCAACTGCTTGGTGGAGTGGAGCGATTACGGGCTTTGTGACGGATTTGTACAGGTCCTTGAGAAACCTGCGGTGAGCACAAGACCGTATCAAGTGCGGAGCTATGACGCTTTGCAATATAAGGAATAATAAGAAATTTGTTTTGTGTAGTTTAATGTCCTAGGGCAAGAGCCAGTGAGCGTGTGGGCAAATTCACCTTTCCAGTAGTTTCGCCTGTGGGCAGAGAGTGGCCTTGTCAGGGGGGTCTGTGGGCTGTTGCTTTGAAGGAATGAAGAGTAGAGAGGCTGGCAGGCCGTGACTTTCATCAGAGGACAGTCTGAGGGCCCCAAAGAGGCCCCTCTCACTGGGTGCCCTGATTATTTCACTTGGCCCCAGAGTGGTCATTTCAGGGGTATTGGTGCCTGTGGATAAGGCTGGGAACCCAACAGCCACCAGAGCTATCTCAGGCAGTGGGTTTGATGGCTCCTCATGCAGGAAGTTGAAGTTTTCTTTTTCTTTTCTTTGAAAGATTTTACTTATTTATTTGACAGAGAGAGAGATCACAAGTAGGCAGAGAGGCAGACAGAGAAAGAAGGGGGAAGCAGGCTTCCTGCTGAGCAGAGAGCCCAATGTGGGACTTGATCCCAGGACCGTGAGATCATGACCTGAGCTGAAGGCAGAGGCTTAACCCACTAAGCCACCCAGGCACCCCAGGAAGTAGGAGTTTTAAATGGAAAATGGAAAATGTTTTCTAGTGAGACAAAGAGGGCCCTGAAAGGGTGAGTTCCAGTCCTGTTTGTAGCACTTGCTGGTTCTGAGCCCACTTGGGATTCCCACGTGTGAAGCAGGAATTCCGGACTCCTGTGCTTACCCCCAGTGTGGCAGAAGAAGTCAAACATGGGCCATAGAAATACTGAACATTGTGGCCTGTTGTGCATTTGAAGGAGAGAAACTAAGAAGTTAAAAATTCTGATTATTTTAAAATGTGGTATTTTAAGGCAATACATTTGTAGGCCAGACTGAAGTGGCTAGGGAGTGGAAGTGAGTGGCACATGTGCACGAGAACCCGGCACACCCTGGGAGTGAGCAGGTTGGACCCCGACCAAACTTGTGGATGCTTGGACATGTGCGGTCATACATGGAGTGGGCAGTTATGTCCGAATACAAGGCTGGGGGTGTCTTTGGTGGGTGGGGAAGGATGCGCCCAGGCCACGTTCCTGCCATGGGCTCCCATTCCAGGGTCTGTTGGACCCTGGTGCTGAGAGTCTGTCAGCCAATTAGGGCGTCTGTCTGTACATCTAATGGCCTCATCTCACATAGGCCAAGCGATAGCCCACCACGGATCCCTCTTCCTTGAACCTCATCCCAGGTGCCCTCCTAGCCATTCCTTTGATTTCTCAGGCCTCTGCTCAGACGGCCCCTCCTCAGAGTAGCCCTCCCTGACCTGCCTGTGGAAACCAACCATGTTCTGGCATGAGGGAACTTTGGGGTGAGATGGAAATGTTCTATATCTTGTTTATGGGCTGTGTACATGAGTGTACACCTTTGTCAAAGCTCATTAAATGGCATACTTGGGATTTGAGCATTTGCTCTATGTTAATCTACTTTGAAAAAAGAGCTATCAGCATCTACTTCTAGTTAACAGCGCACATACTGAAATCTTTCTGTAGGCAGAAACAATCAAATACGGGCGGTGGTTCAACCTGCTACTTTGCCCTGAACCAGCTCAAAACAGGAACTCCCCAAGTGTGTCCTGCCATCCAGCAGCCTTGTGAGGGCTGGAGTCTGTCTCCCCCACCAGGCTGACCCAGTTCTCTGACTGTTCATTGTTGTATCGTCAGGGCCTAGCAGAAAGCCTTGCACACAGTAGGTGCTCAAATACTCGATGGGTGACTAAGTGAACAGATGCTCCTGATGAGTATGACTAGCATACTCATCTGGCCTGAGGACCTCAAGGATGTGTGTTGGGGGTTGTCTTATCTTGACCTGGTTCCCTTTTCTTTGCCTCTCTTGCTCTCTGTCACTGTGGTGGTTCCCCAGGGCCCATCGGCTCTGCCCCCAGCTTGCACCCTGAAGCCAGCCTCTCCTTTCCTCCCCACTACCCCCATCCCAGGCCTGGCCAGCATCCATTCTCACCTGGACATTCACTTCTACTCTTCCCCCTGCGGTCTCCACACAGTGGCTGTGTTGTCTTTCTAAACTGTAAGGCAGATTATGCCACTCACCAGTGTGAGACTCTGTCAACTTCCCCTGCACGTCCACCAAAGTCCTAGTCATCAAGGTCTACAGGACCCCTTGCTTTGAAGGAATGAAGAGCAGAGAGGCTGGCAGACTGACCTCTTTCTTCCCACTACAGTCCAGACCAGCCCACCAATGACCTTCCTTTCCCTTGAACCTCCAAGCCTTTCTCACGTGCTTCCTCAGCACCCAATGACTGCATCCTTGAGTGTGGCTGGAGCTCTCCCCCTGAACTCTGTCCTTCCCACCCCCAGAGTCTCTGTCCCATAACCCCGGGTTTTTCCTTCCCAGGCCTCAGCACTAGGGACAATCCCTATTCATTTATGTGTTTGTTTCCTTTTTCTTCCTAGTAGCTTCCCAGGGGCATGTTCTTGTTTGTATAGGTTGCTGATGCCCCAGACAGTACCTGGAGCCAAGCTGTGGCTGGGCAGGAGGGAGGATGGCTTTTTGGCCCCTCTGCCCCTCTCCTCTTGTGGAACCACTTGGCATTGCTAGTGCTCTGCTTTGGGACCTCCTGGGGCTGAGTTTCCTGCTCTGACCCCCTCTCTGTCCTTTAGGCCTGTGCCCACCGCTGGAAGAACATCTACTACGAAACAGACCACATCTTGCCCCACGGCTTCTGTTACATCATCCCGTCCAACCTCCAGGCCAAAGGCAGGACGCTGATCCCTTGCTATGAAGGTGAGCACTTCTGATCCCCCCCACCCCTACCCCACACTTGCCGTGGCACCCTAAACAACTCCCATCATCTCCGTTTCCCGCAGCTTTCCAAACTCTAACTGGAGGGCAGCACTGGGTCCCCAGTTGGCCTCTTGGCACCCATGGCCCTGCCCAGGAATGGGGGTGAGCAGGGGCTGTGGTTTCAGACCCCGCCTACCCCCAGCCCTGCCCATCTCTGCCCCAGAGTCCATGGTGTGCACCGAACTATATGAAGTCTCAGTCTAAAATTCACCAAGCCTCGGCCAAGCAGTCGGGCAGAAGTTGGTTTTCTGGCACTGTCACATGCTGGGCAGCCTTAGGGAGCTGCTTTCTCTTTTGGGCCTCAATGTCCTCGCCTGAAAATTCAGAGGTTGGCTCGATGGTCTCCACGGTCCAAGCTCCCAGATGGTCTTAAGGCTCCTGAGACAGTTTTGTGGACAAATGTCCTGAGACAGTCCAGGATTCCAAACCCAGGATTCGGTCATTCCATAACATCAGAAGGCTCTTTCCTTCCCATCTGTTCCACATATTGTCATGACAGTTCGAAGACCTCTTTGCCAAAGGGCACTTGGGATCTTGGAAGGAAATGTATTTTCCAGGCTCCCTGCTTAAAACCTCCAAACACCACTGAGCTGTCATTATGATTATTTTTTTAATTAAAAAATGTTTTTTGAGCTGATCATTATTTAGCTCAGTTGAACTTGAGGTTTAAGGATCCAGGAAATGCTCGCCTTTTCATTGGTTTTAGAGTTTGTACACTCTGGTTTTCTTTGCCTAATTCTGAGGTAGCTAGCACTTGTTCCCTCTCTAAGTGCTATGCTATTTATATTTTAATCCTCCCTCTAATTTACTTGCTTGGACTGAAGTCTCCACCAGCCTGTGTCCACGTTTCCTCTGGGCCTCCCTGGGTTTTCCCAGGCTTCAAATTTTGAGGCCACCAAAGATGGTTCTGAGAACTGCTGTCTGGACACATGCATTTTTCTGCCTCCCAGAGGACCCTCCAGGGCCCTGAAGGGAACTCGGGTGCCCTGAGCAGGTGTTCTGTGCAGCAGTCCTATGGAAGAACTGGCAGGGCCCCTGTAGGGGGCATGAACGCTGACCTTCTGTGAGAACGAGCCTTGTTCTTTTCCTCTGTGTCCGCATTTCCTCAGCTCTGGCTGGACCATGTGGGGAAGTTGAACTCCGGCCCTGTTTATCTCTGTATTGCCCCAGTCAGAAAAAAAACTTCTGAAAAATGGACATAATGTAGTCTGCCGACAGAGACGGACAGATAGTATAAATAAATCAATAAGGGGTCAAGGCTGTGTTTTGACTGCCCCAGCTTACTCCTCACTCCCGCCTCCCTGTCCCACCCCAGGAAGAGAAGGGGAAGCTCCTGGCACAACTCTGTGGGTAGCTCATTGGCCTGGGGAGAGGAGAGGGAATCGATACGAGTACCGGAAAGAAAGATGATTGAATCCAAACCAGTTGTGCAAGAAGACCAGGATGTTGGTTTTCCCAGAAGACATATTGTGAAATAGGGATATGTTGCTGTCCCTGGTGTTTCCTCCATATCCCACTGTAAGCACTGGAACGCGGAAGGACAGACCTCTGAAGAGGTGGGAGCTTGTGGCCACCGTGGCTCACACTTGTGCACGATGTGTTAAGTAGCTGTGAGCTCAGCACTGGGCCAGTGTTGGTTTGGGGGACTTGACACCCTCTCTCATGTCATCTTTACAACTCTCTTCACTTGGGTTTTGAATATGTGTAGTTTTCTGGAGGTCATTCCAGACGACCCCAGTGGGGCTATGGGAGGCAAGAAGAGGGAGGGAAGACAGCCCATGAGAGATGCTACCTACAAGTTACCATTATGGGCAGCTGGGCACGAGTTCTGGGGAGCTCTGGGGCTAGCAGGGAACATACCTTGGGATTACCCACCTGAGGTGTATAGGGGCTGAAGTCTTTCCACCATTCTCTCCTGCTGTGTGTGGGGGCAGGGAAGGCCCCCCAGCAGGTGATGTGGGTGCTGGCCTCCAGGCTGCATCCTGGGAATGGTGAGGGTGGCAGGGTGTGGGTGGGGCCCCTGATGCTTGACAGGAAGGTGGAAGCCCACGTGAACCAAGGAGGAGCCACAGCAGGGCCCGGTGTCCTCTCGGTTCAGGGCTGCTTTGCACATCCCTCATTCACAAGGGGGGGGGGCCTTAGGAGATCTCTTATGTTTCTTCCCCCTCTGGGTGGTTGTGACCCTCACCATGGAATGTGCCCCCTAGGGCTCACTGGTCCCAGAAGAGCTACATGTGGAACAGACCTGCTCTGAACCTGCAGCCGGAGCCCAACTAGACCAGCCAAAGCCCAGTTGACCTGTGGGAGTCGGAGTGGGAAGGGAACTGCTTGTTATTTGTCACAGACATTTCATGGTCATTATGCAGTCATAGCTGACATGGGGCTCGACTCATGATCCCAGATTCCTCACACAGCAGTAGTTGGACAATCAGCCCAGGATGCCAGGGTTGTTCTTGGACTATTCCTTGACTTAATAATGGCTAAATGGAGCCAGCAAAGAAATGAGCAAAAATGGTGGTACCCCCTGCCCAGTCCTCCTTCTCCATGGGCACACACACACTTCCGTGTGCTAACTCATTCATGGGGCTGGGGAGTGTTGGGTTCTAAGAGCAGCCCCTAGAACAATGGGGCACTGAGGAGAATGCTTCTGTGGTTTTAGTTCCTGTAGGAGGCAAGGGGTGGCCAATGCTCAGATTTCTCTAAAAGACTGGCTTGGCAGGATGAAGGATGTGGTCCCCAGTTAGAGACCCTTGCCTGTGCTCTCCTGGCTTTGGGGATGTCCACCTCCCATTCTTGGGCACTTGGGTCTTAAAGCAATTGTACTTTTCTCTTAATGTGGAAAAACTTGGTGTCCCAAGCTCTCTGTTCCAAGTGAGGGATCACATGACAGCTAAGTACAATACAACAGAAGTATTTCAGAATTTGATAAGACTTTTGAATATCATCTTGATGAGCCTTCTTTCTTGAGGTCTAGAGATGTGTGGCTTGCTCAAGGCCAGGTTTTTCTTTCCATTTTGTTATTTGTGTACCATGCAATAGAGAGGCAATGTAGCACGGTGGCTAAAGGCATAGGCTCTGGACCCCAACAGCCAGAATTCAAGTCCTGGCTCTACCTGGTGAATGTGCCTAAGCTATCTCGGGGGTCTGTGAAGAGGACGAAGTGTGTTAAAACTTGTCCATTCTTAGACTAGTGCCCAATGTGTGTGTGTGTGTGTGTGCACTAAGTACATGTATATATACTGATCTTTCATATTATGTGCTAACATATTATATGCCAGGCAAATGTGTGTTAGTCACTGTTGGGTGATTAATTTGTCTGCTAGGAACAGAGTCCACATAATCTTAAGTGCCTCATTGATAAAACCCAAATGACAGCCCCAGCTCTCGAGAAGTTCCCCAGCTGCAGGGGAAAAACAGAGGAAATAGGATGTTTCCCACGCGGGAGAGCTGTGTGGGGAGAGAAGTTCATGCCAGTGTGTTCCGCAGGGCACTTCTCCCCAAAGACCTAAGCTGCAGCCAAGCTCTAAGTGGTATGAAGACAGCTTATTTCATGTGACACCTGGAGAAATGGATGCCACTTTGAGTCTGCAGCTGAGGGGGTGCCCTGGAAGAGAAGCATGGTGGGAATATGCTGTTGGTCATGGCAGTGGGTGCTGGAAAGGGAGGAAGGGGCCCTGCTTCCTCTGAGTGTGTCCGCTGTGGACTAGCAGAAGGACCACTGAGGAGCGTGGGAGCCCTGCTGGGGGCCCGCTCTTCCATGCTTCTGTCTCTCTGGCCTCAGGCCTCTGGCTGGACCTCCATTGTGTCACCTCTGAGGGTTCTCTTCAGGGGCTCCTGAGAAAATTGAGACGTGCTCAGAAAGACCACACATTGTTCTCTCATTGTAGGCCTCCCAGAGGCTCACCTGTGCTCTCTTCAGAATGTTGCAATGTTAATAGATGAAAGCCTCGAAGCCTATAGGCCTGTGTCTAGACTGTCTCGAACTTTTGAATTCTTAAAACATCGGTCTTTGGCACAAAGGCATTTTTCTTGTGACTTTTCAGGTGCTTCCTGTTTCTGGTTGGGTGGGAAATGCTATCAGAGTATCCTGTTTGGAACCAGGACATGTAGAGGGAATGGGAAACAAAGATGACTCTCGGACACAATGTAGAATAAACCAATGGAGCATACCATTATGTCAGCCGCTTAGCTTGTGCATGATACGAGAACAGCACATTACTACCAGATGTTGTTTGGTTTTATCTGAGCGTGTGAGAAGACAAGAAGTTCAGTGGGATGACATGGGGTAGAAACTATTGGTGAGCTCTCTGAAACCTGTTGCTCTTAAGTCAGTGCCTTGTTAATATATATATATTGTATAGGCACATAGATTTCTTTCATCCTTTGCCCTTGAGCCCGCCGAGACAAGAAGCCAGAGCTTGGCTGGAACGGGGCTGTAAACAAGTCATCTTTTTTTTTTTTTAAAAAACATTTATTTACTTATTTTAGAGAGTGCACATGTGAGTGGGGGGAGGGACAGAGGGAGAGAATCTCAAGCAGATTCCCTGCTGAGCACGCAGCCCCACTGGTGGCCCAATCTCATGATCCATGAGGTCCTCCTGAGCCGAAGCCAAGAGTTGGATGCTCAATCAACTGAGCCTCCCAGACGCCCCACAGGTTGTCTTTTTATTGTAACAAAAATAGTCTCACTAATCTGGAAAAATTGGGAACAGCTCTGCTAAACTAACCAAAAGTGTCCCAGGTGAAACACTAATAAAGAAGTGGAACGAGAGCACCACCGTATGTTAGACCCAGTTTCAGAATCTGACGTTACTGCTCACTTGTTCCTGTGATTGAACGCATAGCTCCTACTCTGTCTGGGTGACTTTGGGTAAACCCTCTGAGTCTCAGTGCTCTCATCTGTAAAATGGGGTGATTAACCTACTGAAGAGGTATTTGAG